AAAAAATAATCAAATTTTAACTATTCTTAAGGTTCTAATACATATTTAACCCTTTTAAGCTCAAAATTTTCAAAGATTCCATACAGCCTTTTTTATTTTTATTTCTTAATTTATCTTGCAAAAGACAACATAAAAATTTTGGTCCTTAAAATCTTATTTGGATCCTTTAAGGTGGTTATAGGAGGGTTACTTTATAACCAGAATCCAAGCATATTTTCCATTAAGAACATCAAAATATTTTATTCTACATTTATTTGAAGTGTGCCCCTTTTTTCATGTAATAAAAGCATCTGACGATATTTAGGTTCCTATAATAAGTTATTCATTCATACTCTATGGTTTCTCTTATCCTTATTCTTATTCTTAAGAGCTTGTTTGTTTTTATGAAAATTGTTTTCAACTTTTGAACCATTTGAAATTGAGTTTTGAAGATTAGCTATTTTTAATTCACGCTCCTTTTAACATCCACACTCAGGTACATTTCTTCCATCCTCTAAAACTGAAATTTTGCTATTTAAAATTTCTACTTCTTCTAAAGATATTTCAAAATTCTTTTGCAAGGCTTTATATATTCTATTTTCAATTTTCTATGTGCATAATTTAATTTTTCAGATTTAACATATAATTCTTGAGATGTAGTCATAATTATTTGACTCACTAGAAATACTAGAACTATTAACCTTGCTACAACTTCATTTTGTATTTCAGTTATCAAACAAATGTTAGCTTCACATTTAAATCATTAGAGCTTAATGAAGAACTTGATGAAGAGCTTGAATCATTCTCCTCCAATTTCTTTTTCTTGAAGAACATTCTACCCTTCTTTCCTTCTCTTTTGTGATGTTCTCTATTTTTGTTCTTCACAAAGTTTATGAACTTTTTCATAATTAAATCCATATTCTTACAATCAGAGTCATAATCTTCTTTGGGACTTTTTCTTTAGAGTCATCATCTTCTTTGGGACTTTTTCTTTTGACAACCTCATATTTAAAAACAATATTCAGTTTTCTTTTGAGAAGATTGACGATGTGTGTGAACCACTTCAGCACATGATAGATGGTTTCGTCTTGTTTCATTCGGAACATCTCGTACTCTTGAATTAAGGAGTTCTTCCGAACACATTTAACATCATGTGTTATGAGTAACTCTTTTAAAATTTTCCATATTTCTTGAGCACTCTTACACACAGAAATCATGTGGAACTCATCAAGGGTTAAAGTAGATGAAATTATATTTCTGTCACTAACATCATATTGAACCCTTCTATTTTCATTTGCAATCCATTGCAAAAAGACTTAGGTTCCTGCACATTATTAACAGTAATAGGAACAAAAGGACCATTTATAATAGCATTCTAAATACCTATATTAACAAACTTTAAAAATATTTGCGTTCTTACTTTTTAAAAACCATAATTTTTCCTAATAAACATAGAAGGTCTATCAATTGAAGCACCCTCAACAAATGTTTGATTTTATCGAACCATTTTGAAAATATTTGAAAAATTATCAAAGTAAGTTTTGATATCAATTGTTAGAAGTACGCAACAAAATATTGAAGGGTTTGAGCAAAAACCAATGAGGGTTAATTGGTTTCTTTAATAAAAACTGTGCCTTTCAAAATTTTCCTTTTTTATAAATAAAATCGATTCTTTATAATTAACAACAATAAAGATAAGAAGTATAGCAAAAGAGAGAATTTGCACAAGTACTTTATACTAGTTTGGATCAAAAAACCCTAAGTCCATTTGTTAATTTCTCTAAAGATGGATTAACTAATCACTAATAACAAAGAGTAGAATAAAGGTTAGAAAACACCTATCTTTAAGACACTTCATTTGACACATAAAGGATGAATAACACCTTCTTTGATACACAAAGGATGAACAACACCTTCTTTGACACACAAATGATAAACAAGTTTTTTAACAACAACAAAAACACTAAATCACAAGACACACTTAATGAATCTACCCACATTAGGTTTTTCAAAACTCTTTTCACAAACACATAGAGTTTTACTAACACAGAATTGTTAAACCTCTAAGTGAAATGTTCTTTCGAAATGAAGTTTAAGTTAAATGTTTATAAACTCATATTTTTGAAAATTATGTCAGAAATTAAAGAAAGTTCATTTCACAACTATCACTAATAATCGATCATTTTTTTAAAAAAAAATATTTTTCTATGGAATAACCAATTATATAATCAATTATCACCAATCCTTTTTGTCAGTTCTGAATTTTATTAAGATAATCGATTATAATAAATATTTTTACAATAGTAAAATTTTTCTTAAATGTTGTTATTTGAATTCTATCTATAGACTTTTATCTACTAATTTTAAATACAATACACATACTAAAAAAGTTCAACAATGAAATTATTTCGTCTTCAATGTATCTTTTTAAACCAAACATTTTTTTCATAAATCATCATCATCAAAACTCTTAAATATTCTTCTTCTTTTTACTAACAAATATAGTAAGATTAATTATTTTTACAATTTTATATTATAAATTCAGATATTCATAAAATTATAATATGTTATTTAAAATTCAATCGTAATTATCCATTTTATTTATCCCATTTTATCCAATTATCAATAACCTAATCGTATATTCGATTTTTCTACGGGTTGAATTGGATTCGATCGGTTAAGGACATTTTCTCACTCCTACAACACATTGTTCAGCACTTTCTCAAACCTTAGCACGTACGAATACCACAAACATTCAAAATCCAAATCTCTATGCAGCTCCACTTTTGTTCTTAATGTTCCTTACTTTTGTCAATACCTAGAAAAAGGAAAACTACATTGTCCCCACTACTAAATTAAAAGCTTCTTTATCCTTCTTCACTTTCCTTAACCCATCATTCCACTCATAACAATAAATATATAGAAACCAGTCATGATCTTGATCTCTACACACATACTGTTTGTTTGTTTGTCTGAGGGAAGTGTGAAAATTTCTAGCAGCTTCTACTCATTCTGAACCATGCTTGCCCTTCCACCACCACCTCCTCCACCACCCCTAGCCACAAGAAAACAAACCAAGCAAGTGTCTCCTTATCAAATTGTCATATCAAAACACCCCATCAAACAACATTCTCAGGAACCTGAAGCACCAAATTATGTTGCACCAAAGTCAATTAGGCCACCACCACCACCACTAAGGCAGCCTCCATTTCAAAGGACCAATCCCATCATATGGTTTGCTGCAGTGTTGTGTCTCATATTCAGCCTTGTGCTTATCTTCTTTGGAGTTGCAACTTTGATCATCTTCCTAGGCATCATACCAAGGAACCCCACTTTTGACATCCCCAATGCAAACCTTAATTCAGTGTACTTTGACTCACCAGAATACTTCAATGGTGACTTCACCCTCCTTGCAAACATCACCAACCCCAACAGGAAGATTGATGTGAGGTTTGAGTCTTTGGATATTGAACTTTTCTTCTCAGACAGGATCATATCAACACAGTCCATTCAGCCCTTTACTCAGAGGAGAAGAGAGAGCAGGTTGGAATCACTGCACTTCATATCCAGCTTGGTGTTTTTGCCTAAGGATCTTGGTGTGAACCTTAAAGGACAGGTGCATGGTAACATGGTCAAGTACAATGTGAGAGGAACCTTTAAAGTGAGAGTAACTATTGGGTTATTCCACTTGTCTTACTGGTTGCATAGCAGATGCCAGATAGAGATGACTGCTCCACCAACTGGTGTCTTGGTGGCTAGGAAGTGCATCACCAAGAAATGAAAGTAAAGGGTAGAATTTTTATGCTTGTTTATTGCTTTCTATGTTTGGTTTCATATATAACTTGTACTGATACCATACCAGTGAGCTAAAATGGAAGTCTGGGAACTACTTGATAGATAAGAAACAATTTAATTTTTATATGTTGTTGATATAGAACATTGTAAATAGATTACAAATCAGGATATTTATGATTTTTAGAATTGCTGTCATAGAACTGAATGATTGGATGATAATGTAAACAAATTTCACAAAGATTGCAACTGGAGAACATGATTTGGTAGATTCCTATTTCACTCAGTAAAGTAAGAACTGAATTCACTCCAACAATCGTGTTAGTTCATTGCATAACATGGTGCGAGCAACTTTTTCAGTATCAAGATAAACTTTCATTTGATTATCATTCATATTTTCCTTATCATGAAGAAGCACAGTATTGTCACATTTCCCTTATGAAGATAGCCTTAAATCTCTTAAGAACTCAAAGGAAAAAGAAAACACGCGCCCAAATAACAAATGAAAGCGTGACATGGTTTTCGAAGTTCAAAACTTGAAGTACAAACTGAATAAAATTGAAGACTACTCATAACTGAAGCAACTGAAGGAATTCAATTCATATAAAAACTCTAATTTTATATTTATATTATATATTTCTTAGAAAATAAAAACTATTATTCAAAATCTATGATTTTGTGAAATTTTTATTATAAAAAACTATACAAATAAAAAATATTATTGATACAAATTTTATACCTATCTAACAGAGTTATCATTGAAAACAATTATATAATTGGATAGCAAAGTAAACATTTCTTGATTGCATAAAGTCAATACTCCAAAAAGGTAAACAAATGGAAAATGTATATGACAAAATTAAACCAGCTTCAGCAAGCACTTGAATAAAAGAGGCTTTAAACAGCCAGAAGAAACAAAAAAAATAAAACAGTGTAACTGGTAGTGAAATTCCTCTACTGCACTTTCCAATGTTGACTGAAAGAACAGGACTGCACAATGACCCTTCTCTCTGACATCAAAATATTCAATCGGTGAAGCTCACTCTGAAAACTCCTCCCAGGCAACTTATTCCATCAAGACAACTTCCACTCTCATTTGTTGTTCTGCAATGATCCTGCTGCCAATCATTTGAGCAGCCACCATAGACCTAATAATAGCCTTCATTTCTATCACCATGTGATAAGGGAGAAGTATCCATTGTTCTACCATGTTCTTCTCCAAAATAATTTCACCTGCCACCATTAACCCAGTACCCTTCATTTCTAGCATCAGGTGATACACGAATAGCCTCCATTGTTCTACCATGATCTGTCAGAGAGAATCTCACATCGGTTGATGTTCGCCCTGGTTGAAAGTGCTGCAGTGGTTGCACTGTTCTTCGAGTATACAGTGGCTCGGGAACAGTTTCCATTTTTCTAATATGATCTGTCAGAAAGTATCTGATATTAGCAGATGTTGGCCCTGGTTGGAAAGGTTGCAATGGCTCCATTGGTTGCCATGTTCTTCGAGCATACAGTGATTCTGGAAAAGTTTTCATTGTTCTAATGTGATCTGTCAAAGAGTATCTGATATGAGCAGATGTTGGCCCTGGAGGCAGAGATTTCCATTCCTTCATTGGTTGCAATGTTCTTCGAGTATACAATGGTTCTGGAACAGTTTCCATTGTTCTAATGTGATCTGTCAGAGAGTATCTGATATGAGCAGATGTCGGCTTTGGTGGCAGAGATTGCCATTCCTCCATTGGTTGCAATGTTCTTCGAGTATACAGTGATTCTGGAACAGTTTCCATTGTTCTAATATGATCTGTCAAAGAGTATCTGATATAAGGAGATGTTGGCCCTGGTTGAAGAGATTGCCATTCCTCCATTGGTTGCAATATTCTTCGAGTATACAGTGGTTCGGGAACAGTTTCCATTGTTCTAATATGATCTGTCACAGAGTATCTGACATTAGCAGATGCTGGCCATGGTTGAAATGTTCTTGGAGGGCCTCGACTCATACCAAGAGAAGAATAACCACCAGGAGGAAAACCTCTTCCATGCACTTCTGTCATGTTACTTGAGTGAACCCCAGTGAATGATGTCTCTTCTTTCAGTTTTAGAAAGTGACTTGCTGTAGGGTAATAATTGAGATGAGCTGAAGTTGGTAATTGCTCCACAGCATACTCAATCTCTTCAATTTGGAGATTTCTGTTGTGTCTAGGAACCATCATTCGTTTCATCCTCGAACGCTTTCTCTTACCCTCAGGGATGTAGACAAACTTGTACGTGCAGCACTTACCAAGTGGAAAGGGTTCATCACATCTATAGGCATCACCTCTCTTATTATTGTAACCAGGATAATCTTCTATCTTGAAGTCAGCACGCTCAATCAACGTCAAAAAGCATTGTGCAGCAAGATTCTCAATGTCCCAGTAGCTAAAAGGTTCTGTAGTTTTATGACTGATATGTATTTCACCATTGGCTCGAAGCATGCAACTTGCATTGTTGAAGAATCCATGCACAAGGGCTTTATGCATCCTGTAAATTCAAGAACACAAAGAAAACCTCATGCAAACAAGTGATGGTTGATAAGGATTAGAAACTTAAAAACCATGTTTCACAAACAAAGAAATCTAAATAAAAGAATATACAAACAAGCAATTCTGCAAAAACATGAAATTCAAGCTCTCATTTCCAACCTTCCACAAAGAAGACAGAAGCATGCTAAACTTTTACACTATATATTTTTCTTCTTATCTAGCGTCATAGCAGCAAAGAAGAGCCAAGAATAAACACAAAAATACTAGAAAACTCACTTAATCAGCGACGAGCTATCTTCCCTCCCATGAAAGCCAGCGTGAGGAAAGTTGAATATGACTCGATCAAACCTTCGCATTTTTAAATCTGGATGAAGCTTCATTTTGGTTGCATCAACTCCATGTAATAAGAATGCTCCCAGCTTGTGCAATTCTTCTAAATTTGACTTTGCTTTCTTGTACATCTTGGTAACATTATCTACATGTGAGAGATCATTTGGATTTTGAACTCGTGAGCTATGTGACTCTAAAATGTACCCTTATTTTTATTAATCAGCTTTCCACATTGTTCTAGCAAGTACAACCGAAACTAGAGCAGTAAAATAGACAGATAGAGAGAATGAATGAAACATTAAACAACATAAGCAACACTTCCCCAAATTGTGGAGAATGAGAACATGGTAGAAAGCTTTGAAAAAGGACAAAACTCCAAACAGATCATTCCTAAAAGTCAAAATAACTTACAATATCAAAGTATTTAACCAATCTAAACCAAAAATGAAAATGGCTTCACTTCCAAAAAGGGACAAAATGAAAAATGTCTTCATTGTACTAGAAACTTTAAAAAACCACCGCATTGACTTCTCACTGATAAAATATATCAACATGTCCCATCTGCAACAATGTCGTCTGAATCTACAATTTTAGCCTTGGAGTCTAGGTTTTTGGATCATGTAATATCATGGAAAGCCAAAAAAATGCTACACAAATTGCTAACAAGTTTAAAACGTACCAACAAGATACTACCTTCCATCATCTTCAAAACAACCAAATAGAAACAGTAATAATATTATAAAACAAAAATAAAAACACACTAGGGTTACTTTATGAATAACAAATATGACAAACAGAGAGAAGAACACACATGACCAAATCCCAAGACACAAATAATATTTTTAAGAGAAAAACATAAACTATTTCCTCATGCATTTCTCAGCAAGATTGAAACATTATCTAGAAAACGTGCTGCGCAAGCTAAATTGCAGGAACAAAATACTGAAGGGTAAGAGAGAGAGACCGTAGGGGTTGAGAGAGGAAGCGACGATGTTGGCAGCAGAGCCAAAAGATTTGGCGAGGGAAAGAGAGAAAGAGAAATCACCCTCTCCCACCAACAATATTTGGTGATGACTGGAATAGTGGGTTACCCATTTTACATTATCTTCTTCATCTTCTTGAATAGTCTGCCATTGTTGCTTCTTTGATTCCTCCATGTTTTGAAAATGGAAGTGCAAGAGTGTGGCAAAATGCAAAGTAAGAGTAATTTCTCTTTCTATTCTTTCCTGACAATTGCACAATAAAGTTATTCTTTCATGATTTGAAAAATATGCAAAATATATAGTAAGTTCTGACTTGTAGTGTTCATATTATTTTTTTTACTTTTTTTTCTTCAAAAACTGAAATGGAATTTGGCTTTAAGGAGTGATTGTTTTACAGTTCATCCTATGAGATATCTCTAACTCTTCGAACTAATTTATATTTATTTATCATTCTATTAACATTAAAATTAAAATTACAATTCTTTTGTAACACCCTGAAATTATATAAACATGATTTGGAAGTCATGTTAACCAACCCATGAAATATGATTTCCCACTGTTATCCAAAGAAAGTGAATTATATCACTAATCCTGCTTATGAAAGGTTTTCATTGTTATTAAAATAATCAAAATATAATAAGTAAGAAGCAATTCATAATATTGATTCTGAAGGGTAAAAAAGGAGAATAATGAAAAAAATCTTATCTTTTTAGTGCCTCGTTAGAATTTAAACGTGGACATCATGGAAGTTGCTCAACGTATTTTTGCGTGGAAGAAATGTATTTGTTGGGTATAAATTAAAATAATTAGTTTTATACCTATCTTTTTTATATTATTGAATATAGTAAAAAAATTACATATGAGATTATGTATGATTAAAATCGGGATGCAAGATACGAATGATCAATATCATGTAATATTTGTCTAATTTCTTCATGATAACTTCCAAAAATATCTTGAATTCTTCGACAATAGATTGGATTTCGATGGACTTCCGTCTTGAAGGACATCATATCATGGTTTGTCATTTTAAGAGAGGTAAGATTGTTTGTCATGTCATAGAGATATTGAATATCATTGACATAAATATTTTGAACTTTCTTTCAAAAGGAGTGACAAGTTTTGAAAGCTCTCAGAGATACAAGAAGTTTGGGTTTCACTGATTGCCGTAATACAGCACACAACTATAAATCTGTTTGTTTCCACTGGTCAATTTTATCAGTCATGTCAGTACATGGTTGTCATCTTGCTCAAGGTGATCATAATGACTTTGACCTAACAAACCATATCTCAATGATAGCCAACTAAGATAAGTAATTTTTTTCCATTTAACTTTTCATACGTGATGGAGAGACTTCCGGAAAAAGAGATGGCACTGCCAGAAGCCATTTTGGATCAAGGGATAAACAATCTGAAGGAGAAACTGCAAACCCTTGGTGAATATCGAAAGGGTTCTGTTTGAACGTTAATGGAACATAGTTCGAAGTGCCAGAACGGGGAGAGGAGAGGCTGGCGGCCGCTATAGAGGTGGCATGGTGGTGTTCTAGTAAGCAGGCGACGACACGTGAGCAGCACACGCATGTTCACGGTGCACAAAGATGTTGTGCATGGCAACGCATGGAGGAGAACAGAGCCCCAACATCGTGGGGTTACATGTCGCGCAGAGAGGTGCGCCAGATCTGGTGGTCACCAAACGAAACTATGACCATTAGCTTTTATAAATATTAATAGTTTAGTACACTTTATATCACTTAATAATTGAGATTAATGTTAGTTTAAATATATTTTTTATAAGAGCCTAGAAAATCATGTTTTAGACTTAATAGCGTTTAAAATGATAAGACTAAATTATTTTAATATTAAAACTTTAAAATATAATTAAAAATGTATAGACATTATTTAAAAACACACATTCTTTATAAAACCTTTTTCTTAAAATGCTCTTTCTCCATTCTCTCTAAGATTTACTACAATCTCGTTCATCTTGTTGAAAATCAGAGGCAATAAGAATTGTTCTGGCAGTGAGTTCATCAAGATCAATCGACCAATTTCTTCAATGAGGTAAGTTGGTTTCCATTTCTTGGTTTGTTTGTTCCTCTACATGTGACTGTTTTCGGCTCGCATGTAGTGCTTGTGTTCTCTTTTCTAGTCTCTTTTGATCAAGTATCCTAATGGTGTGCCTTGATTATGTTTGAGTTATTCATAAAGGTAGTTTGAACTTCTTATGTGTTTGAGAGTGTTGTAAGGGTCATTGAGCTTTTCACTTTGTCCTTTGTCGTGCCTGAGTTAACAAATTTGATATTGTTAGTGTGTTGATTTAATCTGATTTGTGTTTATGCTTGAATTGAATTGTGTGGTTTAAGCATTGAAATGAGTTTGTTTGTTCTTTGGACTATTGTGATGAGAGAACTGAAAAGCAAAGCAATTGAGCAAAATGATATAAGTTTTAATGTATAATAATTGTGTTGAACCAACTCACTGAAAAGGGAATACCACTTTGATCATTGATAAGTCCACGTTCACTTAAATCATAAATTTAAATTTGTTGTCAATTAGTATAGTGTTCAGTTGGTTGGGCACTTGTTGTATAAGGATGATGTTTTGATTAAAAAATAAATGATTAGAAAAAACACCTTATATATATATATATATATATATATAT